CCTTTGGCGACATACTGAACTCATTAAGGTCTCTCTCCTTGTCAGGAGGATCCTGGCCGAACAATGTCCGGCAGGATTGGGATGCGGATGATGAAGAAATATTTTTCCTATATTTTAAATACTTACCTCAAAGCCTGTTAGAAGGCTGGCACAGGCTTCAGTCAGTCTGCTCTTAGCGGACTGAACCTTCTTGATCACCGCACTCATAATAGTGCGGTGCTCTTCGTCAATGAAAGCGATGTGAAGCGCTCCCAGCAGATTGTCCGGTGCCTCTAGATGGGCAGAGGTCACCGGCCCAGGCGTCTTGCCCCTCTTGGAAGGAGGCCGCCTGGCCGATTCCAGAACCACTGGAGGTTTCGGTGCGGTGTTCGGCTGAGGGCCGAACTCGGAGCCCTTAGGGGCTTTGCTCTCCCTGCTCCCGGAGCCCGGAAGGTCGCTTTGAGGCGCCTCCGGGACTGTCTCCCCTCAACCTAGTGCCTCTTGAGACAACACCTCGGTGTTGTCCGTAGGGAAAGGGGAGGTGGCGGTCAGAAGTGGATCGCTATCCATATCCGACGAGCCCAGGGAGCCGTCCGACGAGGATACATCGATACGGGTTTGGGGCGGTCTGCACAATCATAACTCGGCGTTAGGAGAAGCAGTGCGACAAAGGAATGCTATGAGTTACTCTGGTATCCGAATACTTACAACTTCGCTAGGGGCTTGGCCCTGAGCAGCCACTCATCTTCGCCTTCGGCGGTGGTGGTGGAGTAGTCCTGAAGGAGGTTCCTTCCCTTCTTGGACCCTTTGCCCCCCCCCCGGTAGGGGCGGCCTTCCTTTTCTTGTTCCCCCAACTGGAGGGGGGAACATCTTCATCTTCCTCCTCGTCTTCGGGGGAGGAGTGCGTCACGGAGTTATCAGACGATAAGTCCGATAAACCCTGGCGTCGAGAACTCTTTCGGGTTCCCTTGGCCTTCTTGGTCTTCTCCGGCACCTTGTAAGGAGCCGGAGTCAGCATCTCCGTCACGAGAGCGTCCACAGTGTCTTCGGGCAGAGGGGCCGGACAGTTAATCTGCCCCGACGTCTCCACCCAGTCCTGTCAAAGGCATGGAGCTCAGACCCCGCACATGGTTAAGATGGGGGAAATAAATATCCTACCGGATGTATAGAACTCACCGAATGCACTTGGCGCTTCGGGTTTAGCCTGCGGTCCTCGGTGAGGGAAGGAGGGACCTCGGCGCCCTTGAACAGCACCTTCCAGACGTCCTTGTGCGTCGTGTCGAAGAGCTCGCTCAGAGTCTGGTGCTGCGCCGGGTCGAACTCCCACAAGTTGAAGTCCCGTTGTTGGCACGGGAGGATCTGGCAGATGAGCATGACCTGGACTATGTTGACAAGCTTGAGCTTCTTGCTTGTCATGTTTAGGATGCATTTCTGGAGTCCGTCCAGCTCCACTGATGAACCCCACGACAAGCCCTTCTCTTTCCAGGAAGTGAGCCGTGTAGGGAATCAGGATCGAAACTCGGGGACAACCACCCATTTGGTGCCGCGCGGCTCGGTGATGTAGAACCACGCCGATTGGCACCCCTTTACGGTCTCCACGAAGGAGCCTTCAAGCCATATAACGTTGGGCATCTTGCCCACCATGGCTCCGCCGCATTCTGCTTGTTGGCCGCCCACCATCTTCGGCTTGATATTGAAGGTCTTTAGCCATAGGCCGAAGTGGGGGTGGATGCGGAGGAAAGCCTCACAGACGACGATGAACGCCGAAATGTTGAGGATGAAGTTCGGGGCCAGATCATGGAAATCCAGCCCGTAGTAGAACATGAGACCGCGGACGAATGGATGAAGGGGAAACCCCAGTCCGTGGAGGAAGTGGTGGAGGAAAACTACCCTCTCATGAGGTTCCGGGATAGGGACGATCTGCCCCGCAGCGGGCAGCCGATGCGCGATATTCGCGGCTAAGTATCCGGCTCCGCGCAGCTTTTTGATGTGTCCCTCCATAACAGAGGAAGCCATCCACTTGCCTCCCGCTCCGGACATGTTTGGAGAAGGTTGAGGAGAAAGATGTGGACTTGGGCGTTGGAGCTCGAGTGCGTGAGAATGGATGAGCAAGGAGGAAGAAGGCGTGGGTAGAAAAAGGTTAAACCTTATCCCTTTATAAGGGCGGGCGAAGCTATGCACCCCCACTAGCCTGGTAAAACTCGCTTATCCCCAAGCGCCGTGATTGATGGCGCGGTTGGGTTACCCACGCCCGTATTGATGAGAATCCCGCAATAAGGGGGACACGATCTCTGCTTCGACAAGACGTGTCAAGAAACCGCCTCGCGTTATGTGCGGGGCTGGTTAAAGAAAAACGGTTCGAATAATCGCCGAGCCATGGCATAATGTCATGTTGCAAAAACGTGTCAGCAGATTAGATTTATGGAAATATTATTCTCTCTACGGTGGTATGTTGAACTTATTTTGCAGGGTCGGACACTATCCTTGTATTCAAATTCTTCCGTGATGTATTCGGAGGAGGAACCCGCCTTGCAATGCCGAAGACAACACTGCGCGCCGGACTCATCGTCATTGAAACCTGGTTCAGGGGCTACTGAGGGAGTCCTAGATTAGGGGGTCTCCGGACAGCCGGACTATATCCTTTGGCAGGACTGTTGGACTATGAAGATACAAGATTGAAGACTTCGTCCCGTGTCCGGATGGGACTCTACTTGGCGGGGAAGGCAAGCTATGCAGTACGGATATAGATATCTCCTCCTTTGTAACCGACCTTGTGTAACCCTAACCCTCTCCGGTGTCTATATAAACCGGAGGGTTTTAGTCCGTAGAACAACAACAATCATACCATAGGCTAGCTTCTAGGGTTTTAGCCTCTCAGATCTCGTGGTAGATCAACTCTTGTACTACCCATATCATCAATATTAATCAAGCAGGACGTAGGGTTTTACCTCCATCAAGAGGGCCCGAACTTGGGTAAAACATTGTGTCCCCTGCCTCCTGTTACCATCCGCCTTAGACGCACAGTTCGGGACCCCCTACCCGAGATCTGCCGGTTTTGACACCGACAAAGGGGTTCCACATCTTTTTGTCCACGCACTCCATCTGTTGAACTTATCTAAAATATACTCCCTCCGTAAACTAATATAAGAGCGTTTAGATTACTAAAGTAGTGTTCTACTCATTTGCAGGCGCTGGCCCACCTGCCAGTGTCTCTCTCCTCTTTCCTCCCTTTCCCTCCCTGGCCCACCCACATGCTCCCCTCCACACACACCCATCCTCTCTCTCACACACACAAGGCCGGGCTCCAGTTCATGGTCGGCCGCATCGGCGCTGCCTCGCCACTACTCCCAGCGCGTAGGCTCCGGCGCCCTCGTCTACCTCGTCGTCGTCCCACAGCTGAGGGAGCACCCATGTCGTGCCGGAGAAGGGTTCGCAGAACAGCTCGCCCATCTCGTTGTTGCGGCCAGGATCCGGTTGATGATGCCGCGGTGAAGAACAGGAGGACGAGACTGATGTCCCAGCAGGACGGCGGGTGGAGACAAGGGCGACGCTAGTGTGAGCAGCAGTACGGCGCCCACTGCGGCGCCGGCGGAGAAGAGGAGCGCATCACCGAGCAGTGAGCGCGCCATGCCGGTGCCAGTGATGCGAACCAGAGCAGCCTGGTGCCGATGGCCGTCTCGGGGCACTGTACTTCTAGCGCACCGCAGGCGCCGCATTGCCATGCCGGCGCCGGCTCTACGGGTGTGTGAGGAGCCGCGGTACGACATATATGGAGACCAGGTACTTGCACTCCAGTGAGCCGGTGTCGGCGTGGCTCTTACCCGACCTGAGTTGCTCCTGGGCGTGGCTGTAGGCGGCGGTGCCTGGGCCGTAGCGTCTTTGTAGGGCCTCGTGCCGCTGCAGCTTGGACACGAGGTACGGGGAAGGTTGCCTGCCGGCTCTCCGACGGTACATGGCGGGCTGGTACCTGCTGCTGTGTTAGGATCTCTCGTCGACACCGTCGGTCAGGAGGCCGCCGAGAAGCCTGCCGTGCGCTGGCAGCGCCGGGTCCTCCCTGTCTCTGGTGGAGTAGTAGTACGACGCCCTACGAGGGAGCGGGGCACGGGGCGACTCCTTCGTCCGCGTGACCGGCGGCTCGACGTCGGCCTCCGGCTGCTGGATGTCTCCTCAAGCTTCTCATCGCCTCCTTCCCCGTCGATGCTCGCGCTCCTCCGCTGGCTGGAGGTCGTCGACGCAGC